CCAATGCTGAAAACAGTGTTACTATTAACAGTCATGACCTTTGTCTTATGGGATTTGGGGCCTGTTAAATTATACCACAGCCTTCAGGTGAGATAGTTCAAGGCTATGAATGCCCTGAGTCAGGTCTCTTTTGATATGAACCTGGACTAGCTCTCATTGCTTCTAGAACATCTCAAAACAACTTTCATTGTGAAGATAAACTTCAACATTACCATCTGATTGGGAAGCAAATTTCCCCCTAATCATTAGCACAGAAAAGTAGGTGAATGCAAATTGTCTTTTATGTTAAATGGAATTCAGTCATAAGACTCTCTGTCTTCAAAGGCCACAACTCTGCTTACAATGACCCTGAAGCTCTCACTCTGCCCCTCATGCACACCAGCACACACAAGGTCACAGCAAATACGGTTAGAGCTAAGATTTGATCCTCCTTTATCTGACCTAAGTACCAGGGGGCAAAATTACCATAATACTTAAAAATAATTCAAGATGAGAAATGTACATATTTGGAAATCATTGGTCTATACCAGTGGTGGCGAACCTTTTGAGCTCAGCATGTCAGCATTTTGAAAAACCCTAACTTAACTCTGGTGCCGTGTCACATATAGAAATTTTTTGATATTTGCAACCATAGTAAAACAAAGATTTATATTTTTGATATTTATTTTATACATTTAAATGCCATTTAACAAAGAAAAATCAACCCAAAAAAATGAGTTTGCGTGTCACCTCTGACACGCGTGTCATAGGTTCGCCATCACTGGTCTATACCATTGAGATTGCCCTTCAAAGTTTCTTAGTAAACTTGAAAAGCCGATAAACACATTTAGCAAAATATATGCTGCAAAAATAAATGTGAAAAAGTGATGTTCTATACCATCATAATATTTGCAAAGCTATGATCATTAAAAAAGTGGCTATTAGCAGGTTAGTTGTTTCCAAATTGCTGATCCCTCCTGAGGTGGAATGTGAGTCCTTAGTGTACCATCTCCCAAAGAGTGACACTGTCAGAATAGGTTCAGAGGGTCCATTCTTGTTTATCAAACGCCCATCTTTTAGTACCTAAAGAAACAGTGGAAAAAGGATAGTCAGCTTCATGAAAATATGCATTACAAGCAGAATAATATTTTTTAAATAGTCCTATTTTGATTAAGTAGTTCTAGCTTTTCTACTGGTTTCTTGTTAGATACTAGACGCCTGGTGGATAAAATTTGTGCAGTTGGGGGGTTCCCTCAGCCTGGCCTGCGCCCTCTTGCAGTCCGGGAGCCCTCAGGGGATGTCTGACTGACAGCTTAGGCCCACTCCCCCACCCCCGCGGGGAGCAGGCCTAAGCTGTCAGTGGACATCTTTAGCGCTGCTGTGGAGGTGGGAGAGGCTCCTGCCAATGCCGCTGTGCTCGCCAGCCATGAGCCTGGCTCAGGGCTTCTGGCTGAGTGGTGCTCCCCCTGTAGGAACGCACTGGCCACCGGGAGACAGCTCCTGCATTGAGCATCTGCCCCCTGGTGGTCAGTGCATGTCATAGCGACCGGTCGTTCTGCCATTCGGTCAATTTGCATATAAGCCTTTTATTATATAGGATTTTTCCTAAAATACACTACACAATTCACTAGCCACTTAAGCACTGTATACTAAATATATTTGATTAGTCCCTTACACTGGTAGTTCTTACCCATCAAAATCACCTGTGGAAATCTGAAAAAGTACAGGTCCCACCTTCACAAGATTCTGATTTACTGGATCTGAAAAGGGTCCTGGTCTCCAGCCCATTGGCACATTGATCTATTCTTCCAATCCTGTGGCCTATTTCTGGCAAGCTTTTCCTCCCAGTGGTTAATGAACTTGGTTAAGATAAACCTTTAGTACTAAGAACTTAAAAATGCATCCTGATATTTGTATAATGCTTCCCTGTTCACTAAATGCTTTCACATGAATTATCACATTTGAACCTCACCAAATCAGTGAGAAAGATATTCTATGCCTTTTATGGATAGGAAATTCAGAGGTTAAATTTAACTGACTTACATAAAGTTCCCTAAAACATTACAGCAAGATATTTCCTACATTTGTGGTTATGGTCAATGACATTTCACATTTTTAGCATAAAACTAGGGGTGGGAAAAGACACACAGCAAATGTGTTGAAATCCCTGCAGAAGTGATCCTGTAAGACAATGTGTAAATATTTTCTGAGGAGAGTGCATCAGTCAAGGAAATAGTAGTACTCCAGCAGACATGGCCAGTGTGACTCATATAAAAAACCTGTCTTCTGCCTGGCCAGCATGGCTCAGTGGTTGAGCATCAACCTATGACCAGGAGATCACGGTTTGATTCTCAGTCAGGGCATATGCCTGGGTTGCGGGCTCAATCCCCAGTGTGGGGTGTGCAGGAAGCAGCTGATCAATGATTCTCTCTCATCATATATGTTTCTATCTCTCGCTCCCTCTCTGAAATATATAATATATAATATATATATATATATATACAAACCTATCTTCTGATCACTCTAAAAACAATGTTAACAGAAGGGCCATGACTTGAAAGGTCTCTAGGAAAATAATTTTTTTTTTTAATCAAGATTTGGTTTTGGTTTATTTGGCCCTTTTTGAAGAAAGTAAGCACCCAGATTCAATGTGGTCTCAGATAACCAGCCCTACAGAGGAGAAGCACATTATCTTAGGCTTTCATAGCTTTATGATAATCTGTTCCATGAATACCCAATCCCTTTTGTTTTAATCCTGTGCTCACAAAACAAACTTCTGATCCATAGCTTCAGTGTTTGAGAGGACTTGCCAATGGATAGCCTTCTTGAGGCAAAAGTTATTCTTCTCCAGGTAAGTGAATCTATTTTTAAAAGTAATAAATTGGTCCTCTCTGTTGTCATCTTGTGAGTTTGGTTAGTGTCTGCTCATTAGAATATGATGAACTTCAGGGAAAATAATGCCATAGGGAATCTATACTTGAGAAATGAAGACCAGTACTCTGGCCATGGAGCTCCCTCCAAGCATTGTTACACCAAAACCCTGCCTACCAGCTGGCAAGTGCATCTTTTATATCTTTTTGATGTAAAGTATATCTTATTTCTTCTTTCAACAAATAAGCTGGAGAAGATGAGACATGATCCAAATGATAAATGTACCATAAAGTACCCAACTTAAAGGATAGTGCAACTCCTTCCTTTTCCTCCCTCCCTCCCTCCCTCTCTTTCCTTCCTCCCTCTCTCCCTCCCTCCCTCCCTCCCTTCCATGCAAGAATGAAGGGCTAGTGCCAAGGCATGGGAGACAGCGTGACAAGTTCTGAGAATTGTTGAGTTGAGACCTACAAATACTATACTGTTAAGCATTTAACTATTTGCTCTCATGTATCATTCTCTAATTGTTGTTCCCAGCTACCTAAAACCATTTGGGATCTTTTTTTTAAAAAAAAAAAAAAGTAAGACAAACAAAGTAAATAACTATGTCCTAGTTTCTTCATGCTCTCCACCTCCTCATTAACTACCACCATCCAACTTCTTCAAATACCAATGTGGTTCAGAGTGAAAGTAAAATGGCATTTCTGGCTCAGGACTTATTTTAAAAATGATTTTTGAGATAGGGAGGGAGGGAGGGAGGGAGGAAGGGATATCAATGTGAGAGAGAAACATCGATTGGTTGCCACCCACACATGCTCTGGCTGGGGATCGAACTCACAACCTGGATATCAAAACCACCCACCACCTTTTTGTGTACCAGAAAATGCTCCAACCAATTGGACCACTGGTCAGGGCTCTGGCTCTGGACTTTCAATCTGGTCTGGAAAACTCCATAAGTTTTTCGTCTTTCTCCGTAAATGAGATCCTTTTGTGACATAAGTGCTCAGTCTCACTCTAGGGTAATTTCTCAATGAGACAGATACATTTCTATGAGTACATGACAAGGGGGAGGGGGATAATATCAAAGTACTACCCAGAAGACTAGAGATTAGATTGTGTGTTCAGTTTACATGGCAGGGATTATGAGAATACAGGGCCCCCATACTACCTGACCCCTGATCTGTATGAACCCTGCTCTCCTTTCTCTCACTTGAAGTGACCTCACATATTTTCAATTCATCTATACTTATTTGTGCCAGCCTGGCCACCTTTGAACTGCTAGATTACAGTTCCAGAGCCCTCGCTTCATATCTGATTATGATTTTCTGTACTTGGCATTTAAGCTTTTATTCCAGCTTCATTTGCTCATGAGATTCTACCTAACCAGGTTGTACGGCAACCAAGGATTCCCATTCCCTGGGTTTCTCAGCTTTAAGAGAAACCATTCTGTTGGTTTCACATAATTAAATATTTTTATAAATATGATATATCCCAATCTGATAATACAGGCAGGCATGACCATCAGCAATCTGCATTTTAAAGACTTTCTTGCTTAATGCTTTAGGTGAATTAATGTAGATCTTATTTTTCTTATAAAAAATGCAGTGACTGTACCCTAGTTACTGCAATCCTGCCTCTGTTTGCCACAATTCGGAGAAGACATGAAGGTTCAAACTGGTTGAGTGTGTGTGGACTAGCAGATAAAAACCTACAGTCTTAATTCTAATTTGAGACCAGCTTAATTTATAAATTAATTTGGTTATAGCCACTATAATTTGTAAAATAAATATCTAATTTTACATTTGTTTCCACATGCAACAAAAGGACATTGAAAATCTGTAAACAAATATTTTTCAACGAATGGGGCCTTGAGCTCACAGGTTCTAGGTATCTTATCATGTTATTCCAACAAAGTGTCATCACTCTAGAATTACTTGCTGTAAATGTAAAAACGGCCCAGATATTTCCTCCTCCTTTATTCATGCCCTTCTGCAATGTGGTTTTACAGCTCTATCCATTGAGAGATCTGTATCATTTATTTCTCTAACCTTTGAAACTACTTTGGGCATGTGACTTGCTTTGGCTAATGAGACATTCACAAACATGGTGTAAGCAGAGACTTGAGAAAAACTTGCCCATTGTGGCTTTCCCTCTTGATGCTCTTGGACTCCTTCAAGTCCAAGCTTGCTGGAAGAGGAGAGAACACAGGGAGAGAGTGGCCCCAATCATTCCAGCTGTCTAAGACAAGGCCATCACAAACCAGGCCAATCACCAACTAGTGGCAGATGCATGCATGAGCCCAACCAAGATCAGCTAAGCCTGTTCCAAACCAAAACAGCCTAGCTACACTCAGTTCACAGTGTCAACCACAAAGTACCAGCTAATAAATGGTTATTGTCTAAAGCCATTAAGGTCTGAGGAAGTTAGCTACACAGTAAAATTTAAGTGATACAGTTGCCATAACCTATTTTGCTTGGCTTCAGAGAACAGATAAAATAAAAATACTCTTCAAGTCCTCCTACCTCAAATTTTCCAGGTGACAGGTGAACTTTAGTAAGTAGCACTTCAGGAAAAACATACTCTGTTCTGAATGTACCACTTAGGGAGAATATGTCAAATCTTGTCAAAGCTGTTTCTACCGGTTGTCCACAAGTTGTCAGATTAGTCGTTTTGCATTTCAGCATGGTGCATACCTATGTAGAACAGATGCAGATAAAATGTAATGCCTTACATCTAAGTTACTTGTATTAGAATGATTGACTCAGTTTATAACTATAGCAAAGTAACTATTTCCTCATTTGATAAAAGATTTGGATCATGTTTCTTATCATTAACAGCTTTATTGGAAATGGCCAATGATTTGAGAACCAAGCCCACCTCCTGAATTTTGAATTTTAAATATTTGTCATTGGAAAGAAATAAAATGAAAAAACATCTGATGACAAGAGAGACTAAGATCAAAGTGATATCCCTACTCAGTGTTGACTTTAAAAATTAAAACAAAACTGTTTATATTCAGATACATTGGCAAAACTACATAAGAAAGCCTTATTGAGGTTCACTATAATATGTAAACTAGTTCATTAGTCAAATAGAAAATCATCATGGTCAGGTTAATAAATATTCTAAATGTGCTCTAAGTAAGCAATCTGATTATAGTTAACTTCTATTGCAAATATCATTATTTCTCCTAGCGTGTGTGTGTGTGTGTGTGTGTGTGTGTGTGTGTGTGTGTGTGTGTAATGCTGTACTGGCAATGCGTGGAGTCATGCAGAGAAAAAGCACTTGGCTCCCTGGGGCAAACATGGAAAGTGAACCCTATAACTACTGATACCTAAGCACTCCCTTTCACCTGAGCTGAGATTACCTGCCAGTACTCTCTTCTCCTTCGGCCGTGAAGTCCTGTGAAAGCTCCTAGAACATACACTTCATTCTCTTCTTTTCTTAACATTCTGTAGCTTAAATGACAGCAGAGATCTTTGTGACAGACTGTAAGATTTCCTGCATTTTGAAAAAGTGCTGTGAAGTTGAATGCATCTCGGGAAATAAACCCACTGAAAGTATTTTTCCGGACTGGGAATGGTTTGATGGTTGTGGCATAGGCACTCCAGTCCACGGCTGTGGGGTAGGCAGGAGAGGTTCGGGGACGCGAATCCACTTCTGAAAGAAGGAGCTTTCCTGAGTCTGTTTCCATATCATAATGGTATACCTGGGGCGAATGCGGTGCATAAATACCACTGCCTGCGAATGGAAAAGGAGTGTTTTTAATACAAAACCAACACTGCCAGTTTCCCCATCAGAACTGAGCACATGGTCACATCACCACGTTGGTCCCAAAGAGACAGCACACAGGCTTCTAGTTACAGGGAACACCCAAGCGCTTCTCCTGTTCTCTACTGAGGGAGTATAATAGACGTTTGATGTCTGGTGTCAAATAAACTTTGACTGTAACAGGAATGTTTATGAGCTTTGTGGAAAATTAAAACCAATATAAAAATCTTTGTATTTGGGAGTACATGAAAGGTAGGGAACAGTAATACAAAATTCTCTCCTGGTCCCCACTATGCTGGTGTCTCCATATCACTCCCAAATGTTTCAACACTCTTCTCTCCAATGGGTAGGTCTAATTCCTTTCCCTTTGAGTGCAGGCTGGACTTTGCAACTCACTTCTAATGAATGGAACACGGTAGAAGTGACGGTGTGTGATTAATAAAAACAGCAGTGCAGCTCCCGCTCTCTTTCACTCACTCTATCTATCTATCGATCTATCTATCTATCATCTATCTAAAGAAAGTCAGCTGCCATGTCATAAGGATACATCACACAGCCTATGGAAAGGCCCAAGTGGCAAGAAATGAAGGTCTCCTGCCCATATTCCCTGAGGAACTAAGGCAGTGGTTCTCAACCTTCTGGCCCTTTAAATACAGTTCCTCATGTTGTAACCCAAACATAAAATTATTTTCGTTGCTACTTCATAACTGTAATGTTGCTACTGTTATGAATCGTAATGTAAATACCTGATATGCAGGATGGTCTTAGGAGACCCCTGTGAAAGGGTCGCTCGACCGCCAAAGGGGTCGCGACCCACAGGTTGAGAACCGCTGAACTAAGGGATCCTGCCTATACAGCCACGTGAGGCAGCCCTCCTGGAAACAGGCCTGTCAGCCCCACTCAAGGCTTCAGATGACCACTAGCCCAGCTAAGGGCTTGACGTAACCCAAGGAGATAGTCTGAGCCAGGATCCCCCAGCTAAGCTAGTCCCAAGTAGTGACCGATAGAAAAGGTGAGATAATAAATGTTTGTCGTTTTAAGCTACTTTTTACTGTGAAGGTAAATTGTTCCAAATAACATACCAATTAATACGCTCCTCTGTCCTTTGCCAATGTTTGAGCAAATCATGTTTACTTCCATGCTTTGCCACTCACTAGCTGGTAGCCTTTGGCAAGTTACTTGCATGCTCTGTGTCTCAGGTTTCTAACCTGTAAAAGTGGATGGTAGTACTCATCTCTCAGAGTTGTTGTGAGGATAAAGAAATAATGCACAGAAAGGTCTTAATGTAACCATAGCTGCTCAAATCAGTCACTAGGGCCCTAGTCTGTTTGGCTTAGTGGATAGAGCATCAGCCTGCGGACTGAAGGGTCCCAGGTTCGATTCTAGTCAAGGGCACATGCCTGGGTTGTGGGCTTGATCCCCAGTTAGGGGTGTTGGGGGTATGCAGGAGGCAGCCAATCGGTGATTCTCTCTCATCATTGATGTTTTTATTCCACTCTCTCCCTTCCTTTCTGAAATAAATAAACACCCCCCTGGTATCTGTGTCCATTGGTTAGGCTTATATGCATGCATACAAGTCCTTTGGTTGATCTCTCCCAAAAATATGTTTTTTAAAAATCAGTCACTAGGCTTTGAATGTATGTGTGAAAAGTTGGAAAATATAGTGGTTAGTCCCTATAAAGAAGCAAAAAGTTATGACGGCTCACATCTGAGGCATTAGCTTCTCTGCATTTAGAAGTATTATCTGCAAACCTCATCTGGTCATAAATTACCTGTCATATTTTGTTGCACATGGTGTATATTTGCCGCAAGAAGATTAACTCTCATGCCCATAGCCCAAGCTGAGTGGAATTCAATAGCTGACAATAGGGGCAAAACATTCATCCACGCTGTGGGAAACAGAATGGTGTCCACATGGAAGTCTTTCACCAGGGCCACAGCAGGATCGTGGAAGAGTATATCGAAGCATGTGAAAATGCCAAACCTTCCAAAGGTGGTGTTGAAAGTCACCAGCTCCGGCTTTTCAGGGGCATCAAACTGAGGCTCAGAGTAGAGGTGGTACTGTAATAAATGCATAAGACAAAACCAGGAAAAGCTTCTTTACTGAAGAGATGACTTGTTAAAAAAAAAAAAAGAAAGAAAGAAAGAAAAAGAAGAGAAAAAAACCCCTCCAAAGTTAGTACTAGATTTGGTTATGGTCAACAACTGAGACTCTACAGGCAGTGAATGAGACTGGTTATTGGAAGTAAAAGGCCAAGGAAAAGGAATACAATATCTCCTCCCCAACCCCAGCCTGCCCAAATTAGAAGACAAATAACTTTCCATAAATTATAGGTTATGACTTTCTTAAAAGCTGAAGAAGCTTTTTTAATGTTTCTAGGTGTCAGGGATTCAAAGAAGAATGCTGTTATTGAATCCCTGACCCTGGAAACATAATAGATGCACAATAAGCACCTGTTAAGTGGATGAGGGGTGCTACCTCCCTCTTTACAGTGTCCTATCCAAAATAATTTCAGAGCTTTCAAAATTGCTGAAATTATAAATGAAAAGAAGTTGTCAAAACCCACAAAATGAAGGAAACTGTAAGAAAGCTGTTTGAAAGTTATGTGATTGTTTTATTTATTTATTTATTTACTTACTTACTTATTTTTGTTTTGTTTTTTTAATCCTCACCCAAGGATATTTTTCCATTGATTTTTAGGGATTATGAAAAAGAATGGGAAAGACAGAGAGAAACATCGATGTGAGAGAAACACATCAATGGGTTGCCTTCTGCAGGAGCCCTCACCAGGGCGTGGACCAGGGAGGAGCCTGCAACCGAGGTACATACCCTTGACCAGAATTGAACCTGGGACCCTTTGGTCTGCAAGCCAACATTCTATCCACTGAGCCAAACCACTAGGACTGTGTTTTATTTAGAAATACAAAAATAAATATACAATTTTTTTTCTGTAGCAGTATGTGATCAAAAGCATTGAAAAACAATTGGGTTAATATCACTCCTTACATTTCAACTGGGACTTCCAGCAGATTATTTCCCCACTCAAAAGATTCTGGGTGGAGAAATTGTTAAAAGATACAATTTAAGATGCTTAGAAAAAGTGTGGGTGGGTGTGGAAGAGGATGTACACACTGACATGCATATCCCATATCCACTTAGAAGGCTGGCTCTCTCCCTGCCAATTTGGTATAAAATTATGGCTAAAGGTTATTTTGCTCTTTTAATTCAGAGTTTATAGTAAAAATTTTCTGATCTAACCTCAAATTCATAAGAGGGTAATTCAGTTAACTGGTATGAAAAATAAAGGGAAAGATAGTTTTTGTAATTTGATAGAAAACAGGGAAATTAACTTCTGTAAAACTCATTCATACAATTTGGAAACATCTTCATATCATTTCAGTATTAAATGGTATCCAGACCGCAGTCACCTTGGTATCCTTTGAATTAATTATTAAAATTACGTTTTTATATACAGAATGATTTATCTCAATCATGGACTATTGCAATCTTTCTAATAGCTCTTTGCCTACATTTTTTCCCAGATTAGTTTTTTCTAAAATGTGACTTTCTTTAGTGTTTGCCTTAACAAAAAATCTCTAATAACATCCTATATGGGGAATAAAGCTCAAAATACTTAACACAGCATTCATCCCCCTCATAACAGTCATCATTCTACATACCCACCCTCTCTTACCTTGTGGTAACGTGCCACCAATTGTCCCTTTGCATCATATACCACGTTGGTATTGTACTGATAATAGCCATTAGGAGGACATGTGGAGTCCTGAGAATTACATCGCTTTTTGTCCCCAATATTTGCCAAGACATAGATAGAGTTGTTCTTGGCCAGGCAGCTGAGTCTTGTTTGTATGGGTGTGTGACCAAATCTAAATCAAATTTTAATGAAGAGATTTTAATAAGTCAGACAGAGAAAGACTTATACTGTATGATATCACTTATTTGTGGAATCTAAAAAGACTGAATTCACAGAAACAGAGTAGAATAGTGGTTACCAGGGGCCAGAAGATAGGGGAATTGAGAATATATGGTTTAAGAGTACAAACTTGCAACTAGTAGGTAAATAAGTCTTGAAGGTCTAATGTACAGCATACAGATAATAATATTGTATTATAGACTTCAAAGTTGCTTAGAGACTAGATCTTTTTTAAAAATATATATTTTTTATTGATTTTTTACAGAAAGGAAGGGAGAGGGATAGAGAGTTAGAAACATCGATGAGAGAGAAGCATCGATCAGCTGCCTCCTGCACACCCCCTACTGGGGATGTGCCCGCAACCAAGGTACATGCCCTTGACTGGAATTCAACCCAGGACCCTTCAGTCCGCAGGCCGATGCTCTATCCACTGAGCCAAACCGGTCAGGGCGAGACTAGATCTTAATTGTCCTCACCACAACAAGAAATGATAGTTATATGACATGATAGAGGGATTAACTGGAGCTATGGTGGTAATCATATTGCAATATATAAACGTATCAATTTAACACATTATACATCTTAAATTTACACAATGTTATATGCCAATTATATCTCAATAAAAAAAGGCATTTCAACTTTAAAAAGTATTTAGTTACTTCATATGTAAACAATAATAACAATAGGACAGATAGATGGTCAATATATATATGAAAAAATGCTCAACATCACTAATCATCAGAGATTAAAACCACAACGAGATTCACCTCACACCTGCCAGAATGGCTACCATCAATAAGTCAATAAACAACAACTGCTGGCGAGCATATGGAGAAAGGGGAACCCTTGTATACCGCTGGTGGGAATGCAGACTGGGGTAGCCACTGTGGGCAACAGTATGGAGTTTCCTCAAAAAATTAAAAATAAAACTGCCTTTTGACCCAGTGATCCCACTTCTGGGAATATATCCTAAGAATCCCAAAACACCAATTCTAAAGAATACATGCACTCCTCTGTTTATAGCAGCATTATTTACAATTGCCAAGATCTGGAAACAGCCCAAGTGCCCATCAGTGGATGACTGGATAAAAAAGCTAGGGTACATTATACAATGGAATAGTACATGGCCATAAAAAGAAGGAAATCTGCCCTATCTGGTTTGGCTCAGTAAATAGGGTGCAGGCCTGCGGACCCAAAGGGTCGTGGGTTTGATTCCTGGGTTAAATTCCTGGGTTCGATTCTGGTCAAGGGCACGTACCCAGGTTGCGGGCTCAATCCCCGGTGGGAGCTGGGCAGGAGACAGCCAATGATCAATGATTCTCTCTCATCATTGATGTTTCCATCTCTCTCTCCCTCTCCCTTCCTCTCTGAAATCAATAAAAAAATATTTTTAAAAAATGGTTGAATGAATGAAAAGATTAATTATTTAAATTTGACTATATCTGATGATAATGCAAGCCAATTTTCTGTCAAAATGTTTTTCTTCTACTGCAGGGCTATAAAAGAGGCACTTACTAACCATATGGAAGAACCTGTCCCCCAACATTTACTAGTTCCCATAGTTACTGTGACCTTTGACTCATCCATACATTTGCATCATATGTTGTTTTTAATGGAAATCCAGAACTCAATCATACTGTGAGATTAAAAATAAATGGGCCATCCCAATTCCCAAAACTTCTATGCAGAAAGACTGTCCAGCTATTGGCCTCTTTTTTACACGAAATAAAATTTCTTACAAACACCATAGAGAAATCAGCTCAGGACAGGAAGGGTGGAAAGAGGAAATTGTCCGAGGTCATGTAACCCAATATTCTCTCTCTTTTTTTTTCTTCTTTTTTTTGTGTGTGTGCAGTTAATCTCTCTAGAGCAAAGAAAAGCCCTTTCCTGGTAGCCCTTATATAAATGTCAGAATAACCAGGAGTGCCTAAAGAAGTGTGGTAGCTATAATCCTCCAGCAAAAATATGGCAGAGGAATGTTACATAAACTTCATTTGAGGTAAAAGAATGAGAGAGTATGAGAGGGCAACAGAGTGAGAGGATCTGAGAGATGAGTAAGAGTAAGTGGGATAGAGTGAGAGACCTTTCCCTGAAAGGTTTGAAGTGTACAATCTGTACCTCAATAACCTCCAAGTCTTATTAGGAAGTAGGATTTATATATTAAACATACATCCATGTCTATTAAATATGTTGCATTAGATTCCTAGATTACATTCCTAGATTACTTTTTCTCAGGAAAATTACCTTTATGAGCCTAGGAACATGCAAAGTTTCATAGCATAAGTCTTATGATTCACTAGAGCAGTGGTTCTCAACCTTCTGGCCCTTTAAATACAGTTCCTCATGTTGTGACCCAACCATAAAATTATTTTCGTTGCTACTTCATAACTGTAATGTTGCTACTGTTATGAATCGTAATGTAAATATCTGATATGCAGGATGGTCTTAGGCGACCCCTGTGAAAGGGTCGTTTGACTGCCAAAGGGGTCGCGACCCACAGGTTGAGAACTGCTGCACTAGAGGGTACACAGTGAGGTCTTTCTGCCTGAGAAGCAGATTCCAATACAATTGCAACATGGTACCTTTAAATAGAGACATGGAAATATTTTCCAAACACAACCCACTGTCCATAAATTAATTTACTACTTGTATCCATGAGATCCTCTCCCCCTTCATCAGCAGTCCTACTTAGAAATGTCCTGTTTACATATTTTCTCTAAATTGAATAAAGATATTAAATGGTATCTAAGTGCAATTTTTTAAATCTAACAAATGCCAATATAAATATACCAATAACATACCACCAGATACATGATAATTCAGGATTTATCATTTTGCTGTGATGAACATGCGCATTTTAAAGAATTGCCGCACTTTTGCACAAACAACTAGGATAGAGACAATACCTTTGGGGGTCTTGACATGGAATCCAGTCCACCTGAGGGTCTGGGATATCCTCCAGATAAGGGAAAATGGTTTCCCTGGTAAATTTCCATCCATAAAGTGCATCTTCTGGAGTCACGATAATTTGAGCACCCTATTCAAAACAAGTCCAATCAAAAGTATGTCTCCACGTATAACACAGACAATGCAACACGGCAACCTTCCAGCAGATTTCATGTCCCTGCCATGGATTAAGATTAGTAGAAATAAAAGAATACCTGCTCAGCTGCCTGCTTTATCGCTTTCTCCAGAACATCTATATTCTTGTTCATAAGGAGCAAGGCATCCTCCCGAGAAACAGGTGTCTCTGTGCCCTTTGGCCTTAGGACAGCATGTTCATACACGGCAGCTATAAATGTATCCAGGGCACTGACATGCAGGGTAACCAGGGCAAGAACTGCCACAGAGGCTTGAAAGGAGGAAGTGATCATGGCCAAGGTCTAGAGATTTCTGAAAGTGCAAGTAAAATTCATGTCGCATTTATAAAGGGCGGCGCCCGAGTGCTTATTTTGTAATCTTATGAATATTATACCCAACCCACTTTTGAGAGGAAAATATTGCCATTAAATGAATACAATAAAAAAGCATTACAAAGATTGTACAACATCTACTATTGATAAAATTTGATGTCAAATTTCAATAAAAACAAAATTGAAATGTAGTACAATTACACCCTTTAAGAGAGAGAAAATTAAAGTAACTCTGGAGCCAGTCGGCCTGGTGGTCAAATCCCTCTAGTATTAACTACAACAATCAAGGCTCAACTAGAACAAGACTGCGCACAAAGACCACTAGGGGGTGCACCAAGAAAGCATAAAAAATGCGGAGACAAAAAAACATGACAGAAATGGAGGATATAGAGCTAAAAATCGCAATTTTGAGGGCTTGCAAAAATGTGCTAGAAGCTGCCAATAAACTTGAGGAGAGACTCACGAAAACTAATGAGACCCTCGATGCTATGATAAAGAACCAACTAGAAATTAAGCATACACGGACTGAAATAAAGAATATTATACAGACACCCAATAGCAGACCAGAGGAGCGCAAGAATCAAGCCAAAGATTTGAAATGCGAAGAAGCAAAAAACACCCAACCGGAAAAGCAAAATGAAAAAAGAATCCGAAAATACGAAGATAGTGTAAGGAGCCTCTGGGACAGCTTCAAGCGTACAAACATCAGAATAATTGGGGTGCCAGAAGATGAGAGACAGCAAGATATTGAAAACCTATTTGAAGAAATAATGGCAGAAAACTTCCCCCACCTGGTGAAAGAAATGGACTTACAGGTCCAAGAAGCGCAGAGAACCCCAAACAAAAGGAATCCAAAGAGGACCACACCAAGACACATCATAATTAAAATGCCAAGAGCAAAAGACAAAGAGAGAATCTTAAAAGCAGCAAGAGAAAGAGACTCAATTACCTACAAGGGAATACCCATACGACTGTCAGCTGATTTCTCAACAGAAACTTTGCAGGCCAGAAGGGAATGGCAAGAAATATTCAAAGTGATGAATACCAAGAACCTACAACCAAGATTACTTTATCCAGCAAAGCTATCATTCAGAATTGAAGGTCAGATAAAGAGCTTCACAGATAAGGAAAAGCTAAAGGAGTTCATCACCACTAAACCAGTATTATACGAAATGCTGAAAGGTATCCTTTAAGAAGAGGAAGAAGAAAAAGGTAAAGATACAAATTATGAACAACAAACATGCATCTATCAACAAGTGAATCTAAGAATCAAGTGAATAAATAATCTGATTTACAGAATGAACTGGTGATTATAATGAATCAGGGACATAGAAAGGGAATGGACTGACTATTCTTGGCGGGGAAAGGGGAATGGGAGATGCGGGAAGAAACTGGACAAAAATCGTGCACCTATGGATGAGGACAGTGGGTGGGGAGTGAGGGCGGAGGGTGGGGCGGGAACTGGGAGGAGGGGAGTTATGGGGGAAAAAAAAAAGAGGAACAAATGTAATCTGAACAATAAAGATTTAAAAAATAAATAAATAAATAAAATGGATAAGATGCAAAAAAAACAAAAAACAATAAAGATAGAAAATTGAAATGTAGTACAATTACACCCTTTAAGAGAGAGAAAATTAAAGTAACTCTGATGTGAAAAATAATAATACAACATACCTGCGCTCTCTCTTTCCCAAGGTTAGTCTGAGAGTCCAAGATACATGAAGGATCTCTGTAAGATTAGGATGGGATGACAATTATTAACTCAAACAGTGACAATTTAGTCATGTAATGATCCTGAATGTTTCCTGTGCTTTAGTTGTTAGGCCCACAGAACAACTCTTATTTGAGTAAACAAATCTAGTCTCTTTGGGGTCCTGGGGATGAAATGGGGGCAGAGTACCTGAGATCAACTCCTGGATCTTGCCAAGCAGGACATGGCAGGTGCCCATCAACCACAAGGTGGAGATACAACAAAAACACCGAGGAACTCAGGATAGTGCGGAGCCGCTTCGAGCCCTGCCTCAGCCTGAAGGACGTCCTCGTCTGGCCTCTCTCCCAGAAATGAAATGACATTAAGTGAGCTGAGAAGTAAAGAGTTGGAAATAGCGTGTACAACACTGATAGCATTTCCTCATGGCAGCAAGGATGACACATCAGAATAAGAAGCACGAAAAACCAGGTTCTTCTTTTCAAACTATTCTCTTGATAATTGTATACAAAAAAGAAAAAAGGAAAGAAAGAAAGAAAGAAAGAAAGAAAGAAAGAAAGAAAGAAAGAAAGAAAGAAAGAAAGAAAGAAAGATACTATATCTCCAAAAAGGACAGTGGTAAGAAACGTTTTTGTCCCTGTCCCCTGTGGAGGCTTTCGTATGTCTTCAAAAGATTGTTTGAATCTGCCTTTTTGGAAGGAAATGTCTGCTTGAGCAGAACCAACCTGAACTTTATTTTTTGGTGTCTGGTCTCATGCAAGTGAAACTTGGATGGGCGTTCAACTGCTCGGACAGGACAGCTAATGCAACTAAAGCCAAGAGGAAATCGAAGAGTTATGAAATGTCATGCCCCACTGAATGGAAAGGGTTGTGCCACAGGAAGTTGCCAGTAGCCAACTATTTTTGACCTACGGCCTCTGTAATTTCACGTGGTTCAAACTACCCTCTGCTTTCAGCTCTCAGAAGTTGAGGAGCTGCAAAAGTCCCTTTGAACTGGTAGCATGCTCCCGATTCTTCAAAGGGAAAACAGTAACCAACTCTCTTGCTGACTTTGCTTGCAAACCATTAACTTTAGTTCCCATTCAACTATGCCCAAAGTTTATTGCATTCACCAAAAGGAACTTGTAAAAATTGTTTTGGCCGGTGCTACAGACTGAATGTTTGTGTGCCCCTCCACCCCCCAAACTCATATGTCCAAACCCAATTCTTAGTGTGATGTATCAGGAAGTGGGGCCTTTGCAAAATGTTTATGTCATGAGGGAGGAGCCCTCAAGAATGGGACTCCTTCCCGGCAGGTGTGGCTCAGTGGTTGAGCATTCACCAATGAACCAGGAGGTCACGGTTCGATTCCTGATCAGGCAGAGCACATGCCTGGGTTGCAGGCTTGATCCCCAGTAGGGAGCATGTAGGAGACAGCCAACCAATGATTCTCTCTCATCATTGATATTTCTATCTCTCTCCCCGTCTCCCTTCCTCTCTGAAATCAATACAAAAATATATTTAAAATAAAAAAAGAAAAGAATGGGATTCCTGCCCTTATAAAAGAATCTCTATGGAACTCCTTTGCCCCTTCTGCTATGTGAGAACACAGTGTGAAGTAGGAATTGGGTCCTCAACAGATACTGAATCTGAACCTTGATCTTGGACATCCCAGCCTCCAGAACTGTGAGAAATAAATTTCCATTGTTTATTAGATGCCCAGTTTGCAGTATTCCATTACAGCCGCCCACATGGATTAAGACAGCTGCATTCAAAGATTGTGGCAAAATAAGGATGACCGCCTTATTTTCAGGACAACAGGAATAAATCCACAGGAGCAGATCAAAGCCACTTGTTCATTGTGTTGGCAGTTATAGGAACAAGCACCTGAAAGGATAAAATAATAAAGCTGAACTCCCAGGTACTACAGAAGGAGAAAAATGAAAAGATAGATTAAAAGTAGAAAAGTGTCAAGCTGTGGAACATTTATTGTTTTTATCAAACAATATGAGGATGTTCAAACATAAATGTTCAAAGAGTGTGAATCAAAGCTGAGGACCAGACCTGCAATAAAAAATTTCAAAGGTTTGAGAAAATGCTCCAAGGAGTCACAGTTTTGTGGTTTAGTTTATATATTAGTAAAATCAAAAGTCTACATGGAAGGAAGGTTCTGAAATCCATTGGTGGTAGATAAGGAAGTGAGAGACCGCAAAGCAGGGAAATCTCTAGGACTGAATGAAAAATAAAAATGGAGAGATGCATACTTCTTTTACATTGATGGGTGCTGGATAGTTAACACTTAACATACAAGTAACTGTATAGTGGTATGCAGATAAATGATAACAACAAGGCATGTTGGGGTGGTCTGGCCCCGGTACCGGGTGTTTATCTCTGGAGGTCTAGAGAAGATTTATTCTGACATTCTAAGCTTATTATCCTAAAGCACAAAAACAATGGAAAGGGCTTGTTCAATGTAAAGATTAATCTATCATATAGGCCTTAGGACATGACTTCCCATGATAACTTATGCAGTTAGGAATTTGTATGAACGGAATATCCTGTGGTTACTTTCAGCTCTTGAGTGTGTTAGGTCTGCCGGGTAGCCCTGTTTTCATTCATCAGAGCATCACAGTAATTCACCGATTATTCATCTTGTTCATGTTCAATGGGCAAGGATGTAAAAAAGCATGTTTAATGCCTAAGATAGGTCACTACTTACGGGTCTGTCTAGGTGAGGCCTTACATTCCTGGATCCTATCGGCTGTCCTCTTTCCAAGGCCGGTGGCTCCTCCAATCACCCCTGACTTCCTGTTTTGGTTTAGTTTCTGGGTGGCCAGCAGCTGGCCTGAGGGTTCTGCTCCCGTTGGCATCAGGAGAGGGAGGATTTGTTTTATCCTAGCCTGGCAACCCTGATTTCTGGGCTTTTCTTTCAAGCAGTTGTAGAGGCTGGGTAACACAGGCCAGGTGGAATTACATGATTGCTACTGAGCAATGTCCAAATGGCCAGGGGAAGTAACAGAGCCAGAGAAGTTAGCCCTTTTCTAGCCCTAAGACCTACATTGACTCTTACATTCACATTATATTCCTTCTCTTTAGCCCATTGTTCTTTTATTGTAATGCAAAGCCACTCTAGAACTTTCCCCCATGTGGGCATAACTAAATTCCTGTATGGCCCTGCATCTAATTACTGATAACTCACATGGCAGGAATTTTTCTCACTTTAGTTATAAGAGTCAGGATGGTATGGAGTGATGGTTAATGGCATGGACCCCGAAGCCAGAATGCCTAGGTTTGAATCACTTCCCAGCTGGCTGACTATGAGTAAGTAATGTTAACTCTCAGTACCACAGTTTCCCTCATCTGCCAAAGGTGGTAGTATGTGCTGAGTAATTTTTGCTGTTATTATTGCTTCAAACCCAGAAGACGGTGGTTCTATTGGAGGACAATGCCCAGGGAAGCTTTGACCCAGGGCTTTAATTCTCTCTGCCCCTGTGCCCACCTGTTCTTGGCTACTAATTTGTTAAAAAAAACTTCAACCAGTCCATTGTCTCTGTTTTCTCATTGTTCTCTCTCTTTCCACAAAACCTTCCGTGTCAATCTGCCCTGACTGGTTTATCCTGAAATTATTAACTGAAAGTCCATTTCTACCAGCTACTTTTGAATGTTTTCTCTCCAACTGTACCACAGATTTTCTCTCTGATCAATCATTCTAACTCCTTAATTCATTCATCACAGATTTCTTTTTAAAACAGATACACACACAACACACACGTGCGCACAACTTACTGAGAAACTCTATTACTTATTCATTACTGTTGGGAATGCGGAATGGCACATCCAGCCACCCTGGAAAACAAGCGTGGCAGTTTCTGAAAAAGCTATTTATGGCCCCACCCCATCCTGTATGGAACAGTAAACAGTGAGGTAGGGCAGAATCCCAGTGCCTCCTACATCCTGTTCCCTGTTCTGGAAGAGGATAGGACAGTGTTGGTGGAGAGTTGAGAGGCCCCAGGGCAGGAAGAATTTCTTTTTTAATATATTTTATTGATTTTTTAAAGAGAGGAAGGGAGAGGGATAGAGAGTTAGAAACATCGATGAGAGAGAAACATCGATCAGCTGCCTCCTGCACACTCCCCACTGGGGATGTGCCCGCAACCAAGGCACATGCCCTTGACGAGACTAGAACCTGGGCCCCTTCAGTCCGCAGGCTGACGCTCTATCCATTGAGCCAAATCGGTCAGGGCAAGAATTTCTTTATGAGCTGTTACTTCTGATAGGCTGAGCCATTAACCAAAGTGACCACATGCAAAGACAGAGAAGAAAAGCCGACATCTTGCATTTGTCTGCTTTGAACACCCAGAATCAGAGTCACAGGCCATAGCGCTGCTAAATGGAATTCATTTCTATGGAAGATCAATGATCAATTAATGCACAGTATATACGTGGGAGTGCTCGCTCCTCTAAATCAACTCACCAAGGTCCTGAGAGCTGTGTTAAGACAAATTCCCCAACATGAAAAATGAAAGAAGTTGTGGGCAGGTCTTCCTTCCCTATGCATTTCCCCCCGATATTGCTGCTTTTCCTTGAGATATTTTTTCTTTCAGGAGATGCAAGGGCATGTATATAGTCCAGTGTTGCTGCTTTCTTACTATGAGATGATAGTGCCACTTCCTAATGTATAGCCCTGTCCTCCCACTATTCGTGTTCCACATCTAGAGACAGGACCTGGCTCTTGGGAATGGACTCACCAACAACTGAGTGACTGATCTTCATCAGCTAAGTAAGAAGTAAATAATAAGAGGTAAAAGGACCCAGTAATAGTGATAAAACAGAAAACAATACAGGAAATGAATATGGCCCAAAGTGCTGAAAGTATATGAAGAAAAGTTATTAATATTATGTTCAAATATTTATGTACACTGATTTTAATTTTTTTAAAGGAAAACAACTCTATCAGAATTCATCCAACAATTGATTTCATGGTGGACATTTTCAAAATCCATATATATAAAAGGCTAATATGCAAAGTGTTCTCTCAGGAGTTCGACCGGGAGACTTGGATCGCTTGCTATGATGTGCGCTGACCACCAGGGGGTGGCACGGAACATGGCAGGTGACCAGCGGCAGCTGGTGGTGACGGGGCGGGGCTGAGGGGGTGAGGGGAGGAGGAGGCGGGGGGGCAGAGAATCTGATTGGCCCTGATTGCCAGCCAGGCTTAGGGACTCTACCTGTGCATGAATTTCTGCACTGAGCCTCTAGTATATAATAATGTGACAACTGATTTGGTATTCAAATTTGTTTTGAATGACAAAAACTTAAAAATGAAATAATAATGTACTACTTTTTGTATTTGTCATGCTTTTTGTCAAGAAGAAACAGACTTTGAATGATTTGTTTTAGTACTGATGACAAAATTGCACTAAACTCAGAAGTAATGCTGAACCCCAAGACTTCCTAGATTGTCACCTATAACTCTCAACTACAAACAGACTGGGAGTAGAACAGGCTGTGGATTTTCTGAGAAACTAGTGCAAATGTTTAAGATTTGCAAGTTGTTCTTAAAAAAGGCTGAATAAGCAGGCTTTATTTAGTTCCCTTTGTTAATACTGTAGATGTGTTTTTCTTTGTCTGAATATGCTATTTGAGTCTTACACTCCTATGAGTTTTTCATAAATAGATGACATATGATATTGATACCAAAGGAAAGATAACTATCATAGGACTAAACTTTGGGTCATTCCTTTTTTATAAGATTGTATATAAACAGAGATATGTGTTTCTTTACTTTCATTCACTAGTAATTGTACTTAGTGAAAATCAGTTAGAAAATTATGTTGGTATTTATTATCCACCTCTTTTACCAGCTAGATTTGAGGAGGTATATTTATCATATTTAAATCTTCACAACTTAATAAGTAAGTAAATAGAATATTTCATTAATGTATGATATTTAATATCTATTGTCCAAATCAAATTTCCTATGTAAAATAATGGGTTATTTGAGGGGAAAACTAATCATGCAATTACTATACTATCCAACAGCTGTATCATTCCCAGGCAGTTATCCAAAATTATGAAGACATGTTCACACAAAAATCTGAACATTAATATTCATAGTAGTGTTATTTGTAATAAACATAAGCTGGAAATAATCCAGGTGTCCTTCAATGAATGATAAGGCAAGCTGTAGACCCATACCATGGAATATTCCTCAGCAATATAAAGAAATGAACGATAGGTACATGCAACAATGTAGATGAATCTTAAGAGCAATGTGCTGAATGAAAAAAGCCCAATCCCCAAAGTTAATAACATACTATGTGATTCCACTTATACAACATTCTTAAAATGACAAAACTATACAAATAGAAAACAGATTAGTGGTTGCCAGAGATTAAGGAAGGTGTGACTGTGAGAGGGAACTGGATGTTCTATAAAGAGGCAACATGAAGGATGGAGAATGTTCTGTATCTTTTAAAATATATATTGATTTTAAAGAGGAAGGGAGAGAGAAAAACATCAGTGATGAGAGAGAATCATCTATTAGCTGCCTCCTGCTCACCCCTTACTGGGTATTGAGTCTACAACCCGGGCTGTGCCCTGACCAGGAATTGAACAGAGACCTCCTGGTTCATAGGTCGAGACTCAACCACTGAGCCACGCCGATTCCATCAATATATCCTGGCTATGATTTTGTACTATAATGTTGCAAGATGTTTTCATTGGGGAAAACTTGGTAAAGAGTATACATAACCTCTATATATTAATTCCTTTTAAAAATATATATATTTTATTGATTTTTTTTTTACAGAGAGGAAGGGAGAGGGATAGTTAGAAACATCGATGAGATAGAAACATCGATCAGCTGCCTCCTGCACACCCGTACTGGGGATGTGCCCGCAACCAAGGTACATGCCCTTGACCAGAATCGAATCTGGGACCCTTGAGTCCTTAGGCTGA